AAGTAGAAGAAAAAGTTTTGCAAAACAGATAAGCTAGTGAAATCCAAGGATTCTTTAGCTAAGGTATGTCAGCATGGTGGCTCCTCCAGTGAAACAGTTTCTTGTATGATGTTTCAAATAGAGATTTGTATAGGTCAAAATACACTTCACTGAAAAATTTAAAAGTTTGGGATAATTATGGGGCTGAGTAAGATTACTGGGCTCCTAGCTGAATTCCCCTGATTGAAGAGCGCATCCTTCCTGGAGGCAGGCCAGGGATATGGGCCATGTAAGAGCACTTGGCAGGATTGGACAAGAAGGGTGAGGGCTGTAGGCCAAGGAGAGGATACAGAACACATCATGGGAAAATGGTGAGGATTAGGACAGTGTCCACAAACCTTAGAATGGATGACTTTCTACATTTCCAAATATGTATTGCTAGGTCCACTGGTCTCCACATAACGAAACTATTCTGGCTTCAAGTGGTACTGATCGCCGCCTGAATGTGTGGGATTTAAGGTAACTCAGAACCTGATGATGAGAAACTGCATATAAATATGCTAATCTAAGATTATGTAATTTATAAATGTAGAGCAATTTGCTAACCCCAGTTTAATGAGTCTAATGTTAAATTTTAAGTACCTTCCTGAAGAATCTTTGTTCTATAAGACATAAGCAAATCAGCAAATGAGTTGTAAAATAAATTTAGGCAGTGTTTTATTTTTCTATTGATATTCAGGATTAAAGTTGAGGGAGGTGTGCATTTTTGTGTTGTAACATCTCATGGGATCTCACGTCTGCAGGACTAGTCTTTCTCAGAGACTCTGCCATTTGCTCTTCTCTGCTTTCGTCGATTCAACGGGCAGATGAGCTTCTGTGGGTTGTGTAACTGCTGGGGATATACTTAGTGACAGGATAAGCATAGCTCATGCTGTCAAGAGAGTTCATGTTCTTAGAGCACAGAGCACTGTATAGTTTTCATTTTTTACAGTTCTTGACCTCAGAGTGGCCATTCAATGACCAAAGAATAGTTTTATTCCTGCCTGTAGTAAATGTGTTAAAGTGGACTGAGTTTTTAGTGTATTAAAACCAAACCTGCCTTAATACGAGACAGTAGCCCCATCCTTCAGTGTACAGAATAGATAGTGCAGCATAAAATGCTGTCATTGTTATTTGAGTACGTTTGAAAACAATTTTAGTAGTAAAATTAGAAACATAAAACAAAAATATATACTGACTGTATGAGGTGCTACAGCAAGGTTTAGAAGTCTGCTACCCTGGCACCTGGATTATCCCTAAAATTCATGTATGACTGCTTACTGTTAACATTACATTAGATAAAATTACAGATTAAAGTGGTCAGTTTTAGCAGTTATACTCTTGATAGGGAGAGGAGAAACAATTGTCTAGCAGGCCCACATGTTTGGTTAGTTTGCTTGGTTTTATGGGAAGGAAAAAAATATCACTTAGAAGGTTGTGTGTTTTTCCCCAGCAGTTTCTATTAACAAAGTCTACCTTTGGGCTAGATAAGTGGTCTGTCACTTAAGAGTGATTTCATTATTGGGGCTGTTGGCATTTTCTACAAATTGAAAGTTTTGAGAGAGGGAGGGGGAACTTAACCTTCCCTTGGCTTATTCATTCCATAAAGTTGCTTTGTTGTCATTTCTTCAGATATGTGGTACTGATGTGTCATTATTTCTCACTTCTGGAATGAAAAAGGCTTTAAGAGTGAAGAGTAGCTTCTTATATGCTTTTCTCCTTTTAATTCTAATGTAGTAAACACTACAATGAAAATTATGAATTTTAATATTAACAAATTATATTCTGCAGCTTCAATTATGAATAGCTCTTACCCATTTCCAGAAAAACAATCCACTTTCCCACCAAATACTATAAAAACTAATTGATAGCAGCATATAAATGTTTTTCCACTGTGTGCTTTAAGATGCGCTTTCTGGGCTGACACTGGTTTTGCAAACATTCATGCTGCAAGAATTTCAATAACAAAAGCATTATGCTCTTTCTTAATAGCAAAATTGGAGAAGAACAATCAGCAGAAGATGCGGAAGATGGGCCTCCTGAACTCCTGGTATATGTTGGCTTTCTTATGCAAGATGAAATGTCACATGCAGATTGGATTCTATCATTGATCCCATGTATATAGAATCTGAGTCAAAACTTCTAGTTCTTAGTTTCCAATTGGAGGTCTTGGAGGTTGTTGTAATTGGGGTTTGACATTTATTGAAAATAGGAAATAGAGCCCAGTAGGTTCTGGCCAATGTTTCATTAAGAATAATTCAAGCTCCTGGGAAACAGTATACAGTAACTCCTTATTGATTTCAATTGTAATATTTGAGGGATTATTGGGGGTAGCAGATATTCAATTAGAAACCCTTAACACTAACAGTGGGGAAAATGGTTAATGACTGGATTTTTAAGTTCCCTGCCTAGAAACTAACCTTGATGCCAATAGTGCCCATCTCCCTCCTGTTCCTGATCAAATTATCTTGGCAGCTCCTTGAAGGTTGAGGTTTATGTGGTGGTGTGCTAAGCCTGTGCCCGCCCTCCAAACTGCAGGACAGTGACACCCACTCCTGCTGGTGCAAGACTGATGCTCTAGCTAAAGATAAGAAACCAAGGCTTTTTTTGTTGTTCCTATTGACAGTTTATTCATGGAGGACACACCGCCAAGATATCAGACTTCAGCTGGAACCCCAATGAGCCATGGGTCATTTGCTCGGTGTCTGAGGATAACATCATGCAGATCTGGCAAATGGTGAGCTAAAGCATTTTTTCTCTTAAATGGCTATCTTGTAAAGGAGAGATTTACTGATAAAATAGAAATATTTCAAAAATCTAGATGTATATTGTACCAGATATTTATAAAAAGGGACTAATTTTTAAAAATCCTTCTCCATTTTAATGACAATTTTTAGTTACATATTCATCTGTCCAGTTAGGAGAAATCTCTGTACGTATCTGTATATAAACAGATGTAGTCACAGCATGTGCTGTGATTTTCATTACTTTTTCAACTGGGCTCTTGACGTCACTGCTCTATGCCCAGTGTCTGTTGTCATACACATGGAGAATAAAGGAGCCCCAACCAGTTTGCGACGGCCTGTGGACTGAAGGGTCCCAGGTTCGATTCCAGCCAAGGGCACATGCGCGGGTTGCGGGCTCGATCCCCAGTGGGGGGGTGTTCAGGAGGCAGCCAATCAGTGATTCCCTCTCATCATTGATGTTTTCTCTCTCTCTCCCTCCCTTCCTCTTTGAAATCAATAAAAATAACATTTAAAAAAAGAATAAAGGAGGAAAATGTCGAGTGTACTGAGCACTCTGAAGGTTAGCACTAAGTATATGACCGACATCTCTGAGGCAGTGAGGTGTTAACCAACCCTCATAAACCTCGGATATCACTCCCTCTAAATGATGCTTGCAATGCTTTTGTGAAACACCTTTTATGAACAATAATTTAAATAAATGGTGCTTGGGCATCTAGGGGTATATGTGGAATTATACACTGGCCTGCCTTTCCTCGTTAAATTTAAATGTTGAGGGTTGGGGGGAGGAGTGGGGAACACACAAGGAAAACCACTAAACTACTCTAAAGATGTGTCCACTTCCAACACTAAAAACACTGCCCCATGAATCCAAAAATCTGGAATAATTAAATGCTATTTTTAGATAGTCTTGTAAAAACCATGGGGAGTTATACCTATGAATTTATTTGGTTGTTATCTCCAGGCTGAAAATATTTACAATGATGAAGAGTCAGATGTCACAACCTCGGAACTGGAGGGGCAAGGATCTTAAACTCGTATGAGAAGTGTTTCTGTTGAATGTAAAGCTAACATGAATGCTTGGTTTATCAAGCGCAAAAAAAAAAAAAAAAAAAGCATTGTATAGTAGGAAATGTTAAGTGGGATGGCATATGGCATATGGCGTTCTTTACCTTCTGATTCTAGCACTTTCAAGTGAGCTATTGCGTTCTGTATCATATCGTAGCTTTTAGGGAAGAAAGAAATGTTGCTAAGAACATGACACTTTTAAAATACAAGTAGCAGGGTACTGCCTTTGATTCAAATATTTTAAGTTCTTGTTTTCTGAAACTAAGTGCTTGCTGTTCCCAAATATGCAAGAATAACTTTTACACTTTTCCCCTCCAACACTTGTTGATTGGCTTTGCAGAAAATAAAGTTTGAAAATAAAGTTTGTTTTATTCTTTTAGAACCTGGGTAGGGATGTGTGTCTGTCTGTCCCCTTTATTGAGAAGAGTGTGTGTGTGTGTGTGTCCCTTTCTTGTGAGCTTTCCCCGAATTTCTTCCTACAGTGCATGACAGATAGTATCCTAAATCCAAAGGTGGGAGAAGCTATTTTGTGGTTGGTAGATTTGTAAACCTAGAGAACTGCCTAAGCTGTCATCTGACCTGCATCCTGTTTGTGCTCTGACTTTGGCAGTTTTAAACACTATAGATTTCCCCCCCAAAAGAATGAAAGGAAGCTTGTTTGCTTACATGTCAGGGATCTACAGAGGGGACAAAACCAGCTTACAAGTTGGCCCCTCAACCTTTGTTGTAAGGCCTGCCAGCTAGGAATGATTTTCACGTTTATTCTTTTAAATGTTTAGACAAAAATAGAAACAAAAATATGTGACAAAAACCTTGTGGCCCACTATGCCCGAAATGCTATACCTGTGGCTTAAGAGAAAATTTAATGCTACTTTTAGCTCATTATAAGATCTTTCCTGTGTATCTCTCTGTGTATAACAAATACATATATGTATTTAGTCCCGTTATTTAAATAGGTACACCCTAGAATGTGCTAAAAGTAGCCAAGACTGAAAAGGTACAAACAGTGATTGGCTACATGAAATGGATAAACGGTGCCCCATCCCTTGCTTAAATTGTGCAATAAAGTACTTCTAAAGCCCAAGAAATCAACTACCTATAACTTTCTTTGGACTTTGCTGTTATATAAAATTAAGACTGTATGGATAACAAAAGAATACACAGAAGCTGTTAAATTATCATACATATTTACTTAATCTATACAGAATTGAGTAGATAAAATCAGATTCACATTAGTGAAAAAATCTCTACAAAATGTCTTTGAAAAGCAAAACAAGACTGCCTCAACAATTCGTATCCTCATGAAAGACGTGGGCTGTAAAAATAAAGCAGTGTGTTTAGCACAAACTAGAAGATATCTGCATTTTTCACAGTTATTTCCATCTACAGTCTGAAAGAGGTAGATTTTTCTGCAACACCTGAGAATTGAAGTGTGATAACCAGGTGTTGATAAGAAAGGCAGTTGCATACATAACTAAAAATACTGGTCTTAAGACCAAGAAATATACTCCTACACGTCAGGATGAAATGGCCCGTTTTCTCTACTGCCACTATAACTACACTAGATTCCATGGTAGTGCAACAAATGCAATTGAAGTGAGTTTGACATTATTTAGCCCTTTTCTGGGCCAGCTAGTAGCAGTACAGTGTTCTAGAATATATTAGGTACAACAGCGTGCTACAAAGCCACAACACTGGGCTGGTGAGGTGACTGCTTTAAGAGAGTGTCCTTCGCAGGGTCCCGTGTTTTTATTCACAGGATAATGGGAGGACAGATTCTGAAAGGACATCAAATACACCCAAGACAGAATCAATGTCCTTTAAACACCATGGTAGCATCTAGCTAGAAATACATAGTAAGCCAGAAGCAGCAGGCCAGGTACTGTTAATCACATTGCTTTATAAAGCCCTTGAAAATAGGCAACAGATCAAAGGTTTACAGTCTTCCACACAAAACACAATGGGACGTGGTGGGCTACACAAATGGCTTAAGACATTAAGAACTGTACATCCAGCAGAATTTTTGTGAAATGTGATTAGTACTAATTTTAAAGTAGATATTTCTGATATACATAGCTTCATTTCCTCCCTGGGAAATGAGTCCAATATTTCATTAGAAGCAGAGGGCGGGCAGGGGTATTTATAAGAGGCTATTTGAGGGAGGGGATGATTGTTTCTGTTTCCAACTCATTTTGACAGAGTGATTAGATAACCTACTTTGTGGATTTCTTTTCCTCCACCATCTGGTCCCTTGATTAATACGCCCGATGGTGGAAGCTTAGATCTAATCCTCCACTCCAGGTGCTGTTTTCTACCTACTGGACAATTTTCATTCTTTTAATACAGTTTAGACCATGACTGTGACAGGATTTTACAAATAAAATGTTAACGAAGAGTTTATCCAGTCCAGTAAGCAATTTTAAGTGTCAGTTTGGTAGCTTTGTTCAGTGGGATTTGCTAACATTAGTTCTATTGGAGTCTTTTTTATCATCAAATGTTTCAATGCAAATTATACTAGGGAAATCAAAACTTTAATAACTGCAGCTTAGTAACCATTTACTACATTTGACTCTGTAAAGAACAATGATGATGTGCTTAATTTCAAAAGTCCCCCATCCCAAGTGTAGAGACATTGATAATACTGTTTTTCTTTTAAAATAAAACAGTAAGAAAAGGGTGAGAAACAAATGGAAAGCATTCCTACAACATCCTGACTTGACTGTGCTAAGTTTTCCCAAAGTTCAAAATGTTAGTTCCAGTCTCTCTGTTTTGGAAATGAAATGTTTCAGTTGAATGGAGAATTTGGCTGATAGGACTGTTTTAAAAGTTGAACACCAATTTCAAATAGCCAGAAGGTAGTGGAGGGACTTCTGCTTGGTGAAAGTTGTCTTAAAGGGCTATCAGTAGCTGCTTTCTGTGGGAAGTGGAGGATGTATACCCAAATGGAAAACAAACCACCTATCCCATAATAAGCTTCTGGGTGGTCCCAATTCACCACTGGTTCTAACTAACTTGAAATGGAAGCAGAAGGACTGTGACATACAGTAAGCGTGTTTGTCCAATTATTTGCCTGCATATACTGCATTGTTTACATGACAATAGTCTGCCAAAACTTGGAGGAATTTGAGGCTACGGCCACCTCCATTTGCCGAGTGATATATTAGCAAAAAAACTATTTTGAATTAAATACACTGTTTGTTTCTGTCCCAACCCTAGAGGGGTTTTTTACTTGGCATTTAAATGGGTTATTAAAACTAATCATCTTGGATTTTTTTTTTTTTTTTTTAATATTGATGGGGCCCAGGATGTTTAAATGAATTATTGTTTTCACATCAAGGAACCATTTTCAGAACAAAGTTCTCTTGTACTGAATGGCCGGTCCTGTCTTGAGTGAAATTTTAATGAGTATGATTTTGTGCGAAGAGCAGTGAAGAAAGGACAAGGCGAATGACCACATGCATCCCAATGAGGGCAGACGAAGCAGATGTGCCACACAGCTGAGGAAAACTATTCAAACCGCTAAGCAGCCTCCTGTACCACCTAAGTCCAGTAGTTCTAAGAAAATACAGATATGGTAGAAAAAGTAAGAAAATTTTCACCACAAAACCAATAGTTACTACTAACAGAGAAAGTTATACACAAAATAGAGCTCTCAAGACAGTGATCGTACTTCATCTCAGTCTACGGACTCGATGGTTGGCCCAGTGCCTAGCGACGCGGCCTTGTGTGCGGCTGGCTTCTCCTTGGCTGCCTTGGGCACGGCCACCATGGGGACTCGAGCACCGCTGTGCCAGGCAGTGTTCAGCTCCTTAGGAGAAGCCAGGGCTGCACAGGGCTGTGTCACGCGTGGTGCTAGTTTTGCACCTGCCACTTTCCCCGAGACCTGCTCCTTTAGGACTTCCACCTTCTCGTTGAGCTCATTCCTCTCCGTCTGAAGAGCCCTGCACAGCTTCTCTAACCGTTCCAGTTTTATTTGAAAGGCCTTGTACTCTTTATCGCGGACAGTTTTCTGTAGGGGGGGGGAAAAAAGACAAGATATATATAACCTCGCTGAAGACGAATTGGGTTACTGGATACCACAGAAATTAAGTAATCTGAGCCACATTGGAAAGTATTTGTTTAATCACCTCATGAACATGTTCAATTCTTCGAGCACCTAACATTCTAGCTAGCTTCACTGCAGATAAATCTATGAATACCACAGGCTATGTGTAATACAATATTGTTTTAAGGTGACAAAATTCAACTCCCTTTGTCATGTTTCTTAAAACCAAAATAACACTAACATTTTGTAGGCCTGGCTGGCATGGTTGAGCATTGACTTATGAACTAAGGTCACAGTTCAATTCCCAGTCAGGCCATATGCCGGGGTTGTGGGCTTGATCCCCAGTAAAGGGCGTGGCGATAATGATTCTCATCATTGATCTTTCCCTCCCTCCCTACATCTTCTCTGAAATAAATAAAAAAATTTAAAAAATCATTAAAGAAAACCATTTGTATTGATGACATTTCAGGAAATTCATCACAAACTAGTAAATGAATATTAAGGGCCTGATTGAAAACAGAAAAGGACTCATTTTTGCATAGATTGCCTTTCTACCAATTTTTAGGTGAGAGGTTTGAAATCAAGTGTGCGTAAACAATATATTTCAGCTTTAGAAGACAGCCTTTCTGAAAAGACCAAGTTTAAAACAGAAAGGAACTGGCCCTAGCTGGTTTGGCTCAAAGGATAGAGCATCAGCCTGAGGACTGAAGGGTCCCAGGTTCAAGGTTCCAGCCAAGGGCACATGCCTGGCGTGCGGGCTCGATCCCCAGTGGGGGGTGTGCAAGAGGCAGCGGATCTGATTCTCTCTCACTGATGTTTCTATCTCCCTCTCCCTTACTCTCTAAATTCAATAAAATATATATTTTTTAAAAGTAAAAAAAACAGGTGGGAAAGCTGACCAGTGCTGCTTGAAGTGGGGGCCCTGTACCTACAGCAGGCATAGTGAATCAAACTCAGCAGGAGCCTAGCAGTCTGGGTCTGTCTAAACTAGAGTCGATGCAAGCTCAAGTTTGAGAAACTCTACACGAAACCAAAACCTAGATGCTTTCCAGCTTCTCCGACAATGCACTGTGGAGTAGGGAAATTGCTTCATGCGGGCCGGGCCCTACACCTACAAGTGAGCTTTCTGCCAGGAAAGCCAGCACAGACCGGTTCCACTCAGCAATCCACCTGGCTCTGGCCAGAGCCCTGAACTATAGCACTTGGGTCACCACACACCCCCTGCCCTAACATATGCCTGAATTCGTATGAGTCCCCATGACTAAGAACACACCTTAGTCACGGGAAACCACCTCACCTCTTCAGCCATCTGCAGAAGCGCTTTGTTATTGTTTTCCCATTTGGTTCGCCATAATAGTGTCTCTTTTTCCAGTTTTTTTATTTTCTTTGTCATCTGTGAATCAACACAATTGCAAATTTAAATTCAAAAGTGCCATGTCTTAGCTCAAAGTTCCTGTCCCACAACAAAAACTTGAATATTCCTCCCCACCCCCATCACTGCACATGCCTGGCCCAGCTGACGGCTATGCCTGAATGCTGGTAGCAGAGCTTATCTCAGAAGCTTCTAGGTTTCATAGAGAAAAAAACATCTAATCTCAATTTCTTGAGGCAGCAGCACATGGAAGAAGATGTCACACCCAATGAGCTCAGGTAAGTTGGAGTGCGTCTTTCATTCCTGCTGGGGGTAGCAAGAGGCAAGAATCCCTTTCCCCCCGAATTGTAACAAAAAAATGGCCATGTTTGTGAATTTTCTGTCTGAATTGGGTAATTCATCTGATCCTTGGAAGGAAGGACTCCCAAAAGATTAAAACTTGAGTGCTCTACCACAACTTCCGAAACTACATCAGTTTCAGAACTAGAGGCAGCATAATTTAGTGATGACCCCAACAACCAAGGAAAAAAGTAATTAATCCTTAGTTTTGATCAACCTCAACTTCAGGTTTTGCTAATAATAAAACGGGTATTGCCATGGTAGTCTGGAATAAAAATGTTTTTAAACCTATGCTACATGACCCCCGTTTTCAGATCAGAATGAGACATCTATGCCCATCATGAGCCCCATACCCAGGATTCCTTAATGAAGCATCGATTGGCCCCAGCTCTGATCCCAGTGCAGACACGGAGCCAGGTGCTGGGAACAAGGATCAAGAGCCAGCACTGCTCAGTGCATGGTTATCACCTGTGAAACCACAAGGCCGAGTGGGACAGAGGCTGAGGCAGATAGGATGAGAGATCTGGGTTGAGTGCTAACCAACACTGATCTTTAGCCACTAGCAGAGGAAATGTGTTCCAGTCCAGAGGATTCTCCAAAAGGATCCTGAATTGGGGAGCCCCCATCTTAAACTCTTTCACTCCAACAGTGCCCACTCGGATGGAGGCCACAGCTAGTGTTCGCCGTGTGTAGGAGTTCTCACTCAACTAGAGCCTCAGCTGAAGGAACTGGCAGGCAGAACTAATCTGCAGCTCACGAATTCTACAGATTACTTGGTCTAAAAATATCTGAAGGTAGTAATTTGAGCACTTAACATGGCTAAGCACTGTTTAAAATACTCTACTTTATGAAGGGAAGGTATTTTTGTTATTTTTAACAAGGAAGGAATAGAAAGGCACAGAAAGGTTAAATAACTTGTATATGGTCACACATTATATGATGCAGTAGGAACATTAACCCAGAACCAAGCCTAAGATCTAGTAATAACCGTGGCTAACGTCTACAAAATGTTACAAAGTGCAAGACACTGCTGTACTGCTCCCCAACCCACCACCATTTTTAAAAAGCCCCCATTTTAAGGGGAACATGCCAAATAAACTAAGGATGGATGGATAGATGGATAAGGATGTATTTTGATTCTTAGTTGATGTCAAGGAAATCTTTCCTTAATGTAGGCAGGAAAATGAAACAAAAGCCGAACAACTGGTTTGGTTGAGGGGGGAAAAATTCAATGGGAGTATAGTTAACACAAAAGAAAAGCTAAAAAGGTAGGAACACCGACATATACATATCAACTAACCAAAATAGGTAATTGCTGTTTCGGGCTTGTATGTCTAAGTAATTTAATCTCCAAAGACACAGAACTATGTGAAGGGGGAGTGGTGGAGAGGAATCACCTGAAATGAATAAAACATGACACACACACACACAAAAAAGAAACCACTTTATTTCTAACAAATGGTATTTAATAAGAGGAATTTGCTTTAAAAAGATAATTTAAGAACATAGAGATCACCAGCTTTGTATGGTACACTGAGGGTAAAATGATTAAATATGATGTCACTGGACAATCAGAAAAGATGGAAGACAGTACCATAACAAACTCATCCAAGTAGTGATCATGCTTATTATTCAAATTCCCTTTTAAGTAATACGCTACTAAAAATATGCAAGTACCTTTTCCATTTCCTGCCGGAAGGTTGTAAACAGTTCGTTGCTTTTTGCCATGGTAGTCTGGAATTCTTCAAACTTATCCATATAAAGAGAAAGCTACAGGAAAAAAGTATAAGATATTCTGAGTTCCAGGTAAGTAATTTAAAATCCCAATGACTTTCATAATGAACACATTATGGTTAAATGTTAATTGTTACACAACTGACAGGAATAAGAACAAATGCCAAAAATAGATGTGAATAAACTATTTTAAACAAACAAGAACAAATGTGCATCCAATCCTTACACACTAGGCATAGATGGCTGAAGTCCTAATAATCAACAGAAATGCACCAAAACTTAGGAAATCTGTTGATTTAACCATCTTTTCAGATATAATGTTAAAATTGTAAAAATATTTCCTAACTTCATTCTGCTAATTGTATTAAAAATTGAAGAACTGCCCAGGCAGCGTGGCTCAGTGGTTGAACGTCAACCCATGAACCAGGTGGTCAGTTTGACTCCCGGTCAGAGCACACGCCCAGGTTGTGGGCTCGCTCCCCAATGGGGGCTGTACAGGAGGCAGCCGATCAATAATTCTCTCATCATTGATGTTTCTCTCACTCCCTCTCTCTGAAATCAATAAAAACAGTATTTTCTAAAAATATATTTTAAAAATAAAATAACTGAAGGATGTTGTATAGTTACAAATTTCATGCAACTGATCCTTTATGAACAACTAGCCCCTGCTCCTTCCATTTGAAAAAACTGTCCTTGAGCCGAAACCGGTTTGCCTCAGTGGTAGAGCGTCGGTCTGAGGACTGAAAGGTCTCAAGTTCGATTCCGGTCAAGGGCATGTACATCGGTTGCGGGCACATCCCCGGTAGGGAGTGTGCAAGAGGCAGCTGGTCGATGTTTCTCTCTCATTGACGTTTCTAGCTCTCTATCTCTCTCCCTTCCTCTCTGTAAAAATTCAATAAGATATATTTTTTTTTTAAAAAAGAAAAAGGAAAAAAAAAGAAAAAACTGTCCTTGTGACTCAGTGGTTGAGCATCAACCCATGAACCAGGAGGTCATGGTTTCATTCCCGTTCAGGGCACGTGCCCGGGTGATGGACTTGATCCCCAGTGACAGACATGCAGGTGGCAGATCAATGATTCTTTCTCATCATTGGTGTTTCTCTCTCCCCCTCCCCCTTACCCTCTGAAATCAATAGGAATGTATTTTTAAAAGGAAAAAAACTGTACTAGGAAAAGGCACATTCTTTTATAATACTACCTGCACAATTCTTAGCTTGACATCAAAGAGATCTTTTTCCTTGACGTAGGTAGGAAAATGAAATAAAAGCCAAAGAACTGGTTTGGTTGGGGGGAAAAGAATTCAGTGGGAGTACAGTTAAAAAGAAAAAAGCTAAAAGGCAGAAATACTGGTTTTTCTTTTAACACGCTCTCAAAGAATTTTTATCCTGACTCATAAAATAATGCTAACCAAGAGGCCAAGCAGAATACAGAGCATGGAGCCACCTTCCTCTCCTCCTAGAACAAGAATTCAGAGAAGGGGGCACACAATAGTGGTCAGAACAGAATAATTAGGGAAAGTTTCAGATGGGTGAGGCCTGACCTAGGCCTCAAGGGTAGGCTGAATTATTTGAAACCAGAAGGGAACTTTTACAGTCCATCTAATATGATTATTTTCAGGGTGAGATAACAGGCCCAAAGGAATACAATGTTTTGCTCAAGATCACAATACATGTAAGCAAAGCAGAGAAGAACAGATCATTAGAGTCCTAGCTGGTTTGGCTCAGTGGAGCATTGACCCTCAAACTGAAGGGTCTCAGGAATAGGGAGTTCAATTCCAGTCAAGGGCATGTAGCTCTATTGTAGGCTCGATCCCTCGGGGCGCTGCGCGGACATGTGGGAGAAGCAACCAATTGATGTCTCTCACATCGATGTTTCTCTGTCTTTCCCCTTCCCCATCACTCTAAAAATCAATGGAAAAATGACCTCGTGAGAGTATTAACAAAACAAAAAGATCATCAGGCCGAAACCGGTTTGGCTCAGTGGATAGAGCGTCGGCCTGTGGACTGAGGGGTCCCAGGTTCAATTCCTGTCAGGGGCATGTTCCTTGGTTGCGGGCACATCCCCAGTGGGAGGTGTGCAGGAGGCAGCTGATCTATGTTTCTCTCTCATCGATGTTTCTAACGCTCTATCCCTCTCCCTTCCTCTCTGTAAAAAATCAATAAAATATATTTTAAGAAAAAAAAATATATCATCAGAGGCCAAAAAAACAATATAAGTGATGCCTTTTCACTTTTAGCAGTGCTGCATGAGGAAAATTAAACCACCACGTGAACAGGTCGGGGAGGGAGTAGGATGTGAAAATGCCAGCAGCCCACCAGTGATCAGGTGGGATCGGCACAGAGAGAACACTCAGAAGCAAGCTCTGCTCTATGTGGGAGGGAGAAGCAGACTAAAAGCAGTGGTACTAGTGACAGGCTAGATAGCCAAAGCATGCTTGCAGAAAGGTGAGGGCCAGGGCAAGGAGGAAACATTTAAGGGAATACTGTGGAAGCGTGCAGAGGGTTTGGGAGCAGTCTGTAAAGGGGACACAATGACAGTGCCTCTGAGGCTGCTGACCTGGAGGCAGCAGTGCCCAGGCAGAATAGGGAGTTCTGGCATTTCGGGGAGATAAGAAGTTACGGTAGTTTTAGCATGCTCCATTTTTATTGAAGATGGCACACCCAGGTAGACTGCCCCGTCTGAGAGGTCAATGCTGGCCCACTCTGGTAGTCAGCCAGTGGGAACTACCATGACATCTGGACTTATGTGGCTGGATTTACAAAACAGTAGGTCAAGATACCTCAAGTCTATGAGATCATCAACAAGTTCTGGAAACTGGAATGGTAAGAGCACAGAATGAGACAGACTTTAGGGAAGGACAGTCACATTTGGGGTGCAGGAAAAGGAAGAGGTGACAGCAAAGGAAACAAACGAATGCTCAGATAACATGACACAAGGTGACACAGATCAGACAAAAGTTGCATTGAGCCAGCCAGCACGGCTCAGTGGTTGAGTGTTGACCTATGAACCAGGAGGTCATGGTTTGATTCCTGGTCAGGACACATGCCCGGGCTTAATTGCCAGTAGGGGGCATGCAGGAGGTAGCCGACCAATGATTCTCATCATTGATGCTTCTCTCTCCCTATCCTTTCCTCTCTGAAATCAATAAAAATATATTGTTCATGGCGGGCTAGGGTTAGGGCATGTGCTGGGGGATGGGGACGGTTGGGGAGAGGTCAATGGGGGAAAATGACAATAAAGAATTTAAATATATATATAAAACAACAACAACCATAGCCCTGCCAGCATAGTTCAGTGGTTGAACATTGACCTATGAACCTGGAAGTCATGGTTCAATTCCTGGTCAGGGCTCATGACTGAGGTACAGGCTCTATTCCCAATGTAGGCCATGTAGGAGGCAGCCAATCAATGATTCTCTCTCATCATTGATGTTTCTACTTCTATATCTCTCTCCCTTACTCCACAAAAGGCAGCCATAAAGGAAGATTGTATTAGGAAAAACCTAAGGAGTCTGGATTGAAAAATAGGGAGGCAACAAAGAAAAGCCCAGGCCCAGATGGCTTCATAGGTGAATACTACAAAACATTTAAATGAAAATACTGATTATTCTCAAACTCTTGCAAAAAATTAAACAGGAGAGGACACTCCCAAACTTAATTTTACAAAGCCAGAATTACCCTGATACCAAAGCCAGATAAGGATACTACAAGAAAAGAAAACTACAGACCAACACCCCTAATTAACATAGCTACAAAAATTCTTAACAAAATACGACCAAACTGAATTTAATTTTTATTTTATTGATTTTTAGAAAAAGGAAGGGGGTGGGGAGATAGAAACATCGATTTGCTGTTCCACTTCTTTATGCATTCATTGGCTGCTTCTTGTATGTGCCCTGACCAGGGATGGAACCCACAACCTGGGAGTAGTGGGATGATGCTCTAACCAACTGAGCTACCTGGCCAGGGCCAAGCAAACTGAATTCAATCGTCAATGATCAAATGGGATTTACCCCAGGATGTAAGAATGGTTCAATATATGTAAATCAATAAATGTCATACACCAAAGATTAAAATCACGATTGCCTCGATACAGAAAAGGCATTTGACAAAATTCAACAATCATTCATGATATAAATGCTCAACAAATGTGACAAAGAAGGAACATACTTCAACATAATAAAGGCCATATATGAAAGACCCACAGCTAACATCATACTTGACAGTAAAAGGCTGAAAGCTTTCCCTTTAAGGACAAGAACAAGACAACGGTGCCCACTCGTACTACCTCTACTCAACACTACTGGAATGCCTAGCTGGATCCATTGGGCAAGAAATAGAAGCTATCCAAATCAGAAAGGAACAAGTGAAATTATCTCTGTATTGCTGATGATCTGATTTAATATATGGAAAATCCAAAAACTGCCAAAACACTGTTAGAACAAATTCAGTAAAGATACAAAAATCAACATATAGAAATCAGTTCCGTTTCTACACACTAACAACAAAATATTTGAAAAACATAAAGAACACAATCCTGTTTACAATAGCATAAAAAACGATAAAATATTTAGGAATAAGTTTGAAGAAAAAAAGAAAGATCTATACACTGAAAATTATAAGACACTGATGAAACTGAGGAAGACAGAAATAAGTGGAAAGATATATTCATGTATCAGAAGAATAATTAGTGCTATTAAAGTGTCCATACTACATAAAGCCATTAATATAGTCAATGCAATCCCTATCAAAATTCCCATGGCATTTTTTCCCCACGGAAACAGAAAAAAGCAATCTTAATATTTGTATGGAACCACAAAGAACCTGAACAAAGAAATCTGTAGAAAGAACAAAACTGGAAGCGCTATGCTTCCTGACTTTAAACTATACTACAAAGCTAAAGTAATAAAACAGTATGGGACTGGCATAAAAACAGAGACATTGACCAATGGAACAGAACTGAGATCCAAGAAATAAACCTACACAAATATGGTCAACTAATATGTGACAGGGAGGCCAAGAATACGTACTCAATGGGGAAAGGACTGTCTCTTCAATAAACAGTGCTGGGAAAACTGGATATCCACATGTGAAAGAATGAAATCAGACTGCTATCTTAAATACCACTCACAAAAATTAACTTGAAATGGATTAAGAGCATAAACATTAAGACCTGAAACCATAAAACTCCTAGAAGAAAACAGGTAAAAAGCTCCTGATAGTGGTCTTGGCAATAATTTTTTTCGCATATGACACAAAAAGCACAAACAACAAAAGCAAAAAACCCACAACTATTGTACATGGAAAAGCTTCTGCACGGCCCAGTTTCCTCTCCTCTGCCTACTAACGAAGATGGGTGCTTTCTCTGCTGAGAGCCACGTACTTAGAAACTGCAAAAAGTGTGTTCCAAGATTCTAATGCAGCAATAAGTGTACAGTAAGAAATCAGGATTTCTAAAACTTAATTATATGATAATATGGATCACCCTGAGAACATTAGGCTGAGGAAAGTCAGGCAGAGAAAGGTAAGTACTGTATGATATATCACTTAAATGTGGATATTTAAAAAAGCTCTTAAAAACAGAGTAAAACGGTGGGTACCAGAGGATGACAGGAGGGGAAATAGAACAGATATTGTTGAATGGTACAAACTTGCAATGAGTACTATGGCCATATTGTTCTACTCAGAGATATTGTGGGTTCAGTTCCAGACCACTGCAATAAAGTGAATATTGCAATAAACAGTCACAAACATTTTGATTTCTTAGTGCATATCACATTATGGTTACGCTATACTGTAGTCTATTAAGTGTGCAATACATCAAGTCTAATAAAATTATGTACAGCCTGGCCAGTTTGGCTCAGTGGTTGAGTGTTGATCTATGAACCCTGGTTCTATTCCCCGGTCAGGACACATGCCTGGGTAGTGGGCTCCATCCCGTGTGGAACGTGCAGGAGGCAGCCAACCAATGATTCTCTCTCATCATTGATGTTTCTTTCTCTCCCTCTCCCTTCCTCTCTGAAATCAATAAAAAAAATATTTTTAATTAAAAAAATATTTTAATCAATAAAAACTTACTTTAAAAATGTATATGCCTTAATTAAAAAACATTTAGCTAAAACCTAACCATCAAAAAAGAAGCTTCTGCACAGCAGAAGGAACAACAAAATGAAAGGAACCTATGGAATGGGAGAAAAATCTGCAAACCACATATATAAGGAATTCATACAACTCAATAGCAATTAAACAAACAATCCAATTTAAAAATGGGCAGAAGTCGTGAATAGACGTTTTTCCAAAACATCTAAATGGCCAAGAGGTAGTACATGAAAAGGTATTTATCAGGGCAGTGATTTTTCAGTGGGTGTGCTTACAAGAATTTTTAAAACATGCAATACCTATTTAGTCACGGGCACTGACCTCTCTTCCCTTAGAATATCAAATAAAAATGATAATAGCCACCGAGACCGGTTTGGCTCAATGGATAGAGCGTCGGCTTGGGGACTGAAGGGTCCCGGGTTTGATTCCGGTCAAGGGCATGTTCCTTGGTTGTGGGCATATCCCCAGTAGGGGGTGTGCAAGAGGCAGCTGATCGATGACTCTCTCTCATTGATGTTTCTAACTCTCTATCTCTCTCCTTTCCTCTCTGTACAAAATCAATAAAAATATATATTTTTTTAAAAAATGATAACAGCCGACATAACAATAGCAGCCTGGTGTGAATGAGTCAAAATTATACCTTTTCTTTTTGGTCAGATCAGCAAAAAGTATATTTTTGGGGATGCAGGAGAATTTTCCTAATTAGTTTATGTATGCCATGTGATGAAAAAGGTTGAAAATGACTGCATCAGGGTAATGCAAACCAAAACCATGCCACTGCCAGCAGCACAAGCCTCTGGAGGCCCTAGGCGGCTGGGGGACTGAAGGGACTGGGTGCCATGATCTTGTAGCTGTGGGTGACGCCATCTTTGAGGGTGTGACAGTCAATTAGCATATTCCCTCATTATTAGATAGGATGGAAAAAGAACAAATGTTGATAAGAATGTGAAGAAAAGATAACCCTGTGGAGTGTTGGTGGGAATGTAAACCAGTACAGTATGGAAGTTTCTAAAAAAAAAAATTTTTTAAATAGTGTTACCATATAATCCAGCAATCTCATTTCTGGGCATATATCCAAGAGATGAAATCACTATCTCAAAGAGGTATCTGCACTCACATGTGCACTGCAGCATTATTCACAACAGCAAAGATATGGAAACATTCTAAGTGTCCATCAGCAGATGAATGAAGAATATGTGGTGTATACACACAATGGAATATTATTCAGCCATAAAAAAAGGAAATCTTGCCATTTGTGATAACATGGATGTACCTTTAGGGCATATGCTAAGTGATATAATTCACACAGAGCAAGACAAATACTGTATCATCTCACTTATATGTATGTGCAATCTAAAAAGATAAACTCATAGAAACAGAGTGAAATGCTACTTGCCAGAGAGGAGGGGTGGGGAAATCGAGGACACGGTGTCAAAGGGTACAAACTTTGTTATAAGACGAGTAAGTCCCAGGGATCTAATATACAGCGTGGTGACCACAGTCAGCAATACCGTACATAAACAAAAAGAAAGAGAATGGGAAAAGGAGGGAGGGCCCCATTAAAAACACTACCCACAACTCTCCCTGGGAGCGGCACTGAATGGTCCCAATGGGAAGTTTTTAAAATAGGTTATGTTCTCAGAGCACAAACTTTCTAAGATTTTAGATTCTACTAGGAGATTGACATTTTGTAGGTCAGAGAAGTCAAGTTTCATGCAGTTCTACTTAATACAAACGAACTAAAATCTGAAGATTTACCCGTTTTTCTTTCATTGGAAATTAGCTGACACACGTGGGAACAGACTGACCAAGGGAGGAAGTACCTGGGATACTGCAAAGGGGACACTGCAGATGGTGTGACCAATCATCCCAGTCTGCCTGAGACCTAAGTGTTTGCTAGGATGCAGCACTTCCAGTAATAAAACCAGGAAAGGAGTCATGGGCAAATGGGGACGAGTTGATCACCCTAAAGGAAGAGGAAAATTCTAGGAGGGACATGTGATCTACTCTCAGTTCTGGCTAGGAACAAGCAGAAGCATCTTAAGAGATTCAAGGTATATATCAAATGAACCAAAGATTTTTCTTACGAATTCTACTATCCCCTGCTGTCAAGTTACCTGCTGTTTTAGTTGTACTTCTTGCTGTCTCATTTGTTCATATTTGTGTCTCGATTCTGTTGCTTCCTTTAACAACTAGAAAACAGAAACATTCTGGCAAAATACTAATCGTAATTACAAATATGACTACAATATGAAATGACCTGATACACGTAATCCTCCCAAACATTATTTTATTAAGAACCCCAAGTCTGTAGGTGAAATGTTGTTACACCAAGTGCCAGTTACTTATATCTTTGATCTGTAACACTTATTAACACATAGGGATGTAGGAATAATCTTACTGCTTAGAAAATGTACTGTGGAGGACTAATAGGTTTATAAAAGTCAGGATTAAATTATTGTGTTTTACGTAAAAATAATTAGTCTAGTATTAGCAGAAAACATGGCTAGGAATCTTGACATATGGGTACATTAGAAAGCCCCTGTACTCCACAGAGATGAATGGGTATGGAGCTAAGCAATGAAACCAGAGACCTGGTTTCTGATCACTTTTTAAAAAGCAGGGCTGGGGGGCGGGGGGGTAATTTACTTGGGCTTCAAAAAAATTATATAATGAAGTTGCATAGTAGGCATCTATGAAATTCAGTCCCTGAAGTAAAATGTCATACATAGGCCAATATAAGCCTCAAAAAATCCTTAAACCAACCAGAAAACATATATGTGTAATGTGCGTGTGGGCGCATAAATGAAATTACATTCCAACTCTAGAAATAACGCCCACGTTTTCAGTTACACCTGGGATAGCACTGTCAGTTCAGGCGCAGGATCACGTTGTGTGAACAATGCGTCTCTCTTAACCCTACATGCACGCTCAGCGTGACCTGTTCACATGAGGGCCACTGAGGAACGAGTCTTCATGCCAGGCTAACTTGAGGGAAAGCTGGATGGAACAGTCTTCATTATCATAACCATTTCTCTTTTTTTTTTTTTTTTTTTTTTTTTTTGGTTAAGCACATATAGTTCAATTGCCAGTTATTAATTATACATACCCATCCAATGAAATTCCACTGTATTCACAATTATATTATAGAATGCAATATAATCTAAGCATATACTCTGAGAACAACGCTGAGGATCAGGGCATAGAGAATTTTGTTAAAATTATACAAGTAAACAAATAGTTTCCCTAGTTTCAAGGTACTTTATTGAAAAAAAATGTAACAGTATTATATGAGACCCATGTTTCATAAGCTTGATATTAAACTGAATTGCCAAATTTAATGTACTAAATACTGGTATTATTCTTGAACTTAGTGACTATTACCTCAAAGTGAAATAAACATTCTAAGCACAGAAAAGTCAAACAAGTGCAGGTCTTTCCAGTAATGTGGTCTAATCTCTGTAGTAAATCTTCTGTACAATAAATTAATAGAAATAAAAAGCCAAATGCTTTCTAACACAAACATACCCTTCTCAATCTAAAACAAAAAAAACAACAACAAGCAATTAGCATGACCCAGGTGCCACAATATATGTAGAATAAATGAACATATTTTAAATGGCTTTGGTTACAATTAGGCAATAATTTCTTTTTAAGAAACAGAACTTACAAACTCTCTCTCTCTCTGATGTTTTTCATCAGCTTCCTTTATCAGCTGTGAGGTCTGGTGAAGCTTGACATCCACAAGCTGTTGTTGTACTTCCTTATGTTTGAACACTTTATCAATGTGCTGCAGGGAAAGTCAAATTCTCCCATCACTTAATGAAAATGGAACACAAGAGGGAAACATAACACGAGCTACAATGCCTTGTTTCTTACTCTGCTTTCCCTGCTAATGCCACCAGAGCTAATAACTGTGTCTTTCTGACTGGCACCTCAAAAATGGGCCCTCTACGAACACCCATATCCTCTCTTTCGGAGGTAGGCAATCAAGCACTTTGGCAGCCACATGCCAGTACTTCCGATTTCTAAAATTGTTTTAAAAATATTTCTAGTGCCGGTTTGGCTCAGTGGTAGAGCGTCGGTCTGCGGACTGAAAGGTCCCAGGTTTGATTCCGGTCAAGGGCATGTACATTGGTTGCGGGCACATCCCCGGCAGCTGGTCAATGTTTCTCTCTCATCGACATTTCTAGCTCTCTATCCCTCTCTCCTCTCTGTAAAAAATCAATAAAATATATTAAATAAATAAATAAATTATATATATATATATATATATATATATATATATATATATATAGTAATTTTAGAGAGGAGAGGGAGAGATAGAAACATTAGTGATAGAGACAATCATCTATCGGCTGACTTCTGCAAACCCTCTAGAGGGGATCGAGCCCGCAACCTGGGGATGGCCCGACAGGGAATTTTACCGTGACCTCCTGGTTCACACTGGCTGGGCCATCTTTTACTTGATATAGTCTAAGCCTCATCATCAGAGTAAGTAGATCAGAAATAGGAGGTACAGCCCGGCCAGTGTGGCTCAGTGAATGGATAAGCAGTTCAAACTGTTAACCCATGGATCATATACAGAATTTCTGGAGACTTTTTCTTTTTCTTTTTTTAAATATATTTTATTGATTTCTTACAGAGAGGAAGGGAGAGAGAGAGCTAGAAACATCGATGAGAGAGAAACATCGACCAGCTGCCTCCTGCACACCCCACATGGGGATGCGCCCTTGACCGGAATTGAACCTGGGACCTTTAAGTCTGCAGACCGACGCTCTATCCACTGAGCCAAACTGGTTTCGGCTGGAGACTTTTTCTTCCTGTTAAATTTTCCAATTTCTTAGTTTAAAGAAGCATGCTATGAAGGCAGGCATGGCCTCAAGCAGATGCCCCTCATCCCTGCTGAATCCCAGTCCCCTACCTATGTGGAGACAGCCATGCCCACACTGCAGAGTTATACAAGCCAATCCAATAGTTACTTTTTGTAAGGTGTATGGGGCCTGGACCATAGTAGCCCTTTGGTAAAAGGCTGTTATTTCCAAGGAAAACTGTGATGTGGTTATTTATGTATAATAAAAGTCAGATTATCCCTTCTCAGTTGCAGAAAGAGTAGCTCTTCCTGACCAAGGAAAGAATATCTGATAATGTTCAAATTACTAAGAAGCAAAAAATTTATAGAAGGGGAATCGGAAAAATTTGGACAATGACTAGACATTTAATATTAAGTAATTATTGTTAATATTTAGGTGTGAAAATGGTATTGTGGATAAGCTTAAAAAAGAATCCTTATATTTTTTTAAACATCTTTTCAAATATATATGAATGGAATAATATGGCACCTTCTTCAAAATAACCGAGGGGACAAAAAAAAGTAAACAAACATAAAACAAAATAACCCAGGGGAAGGTGATAGGAATATAGCTGAAACTATGGTTTCATCTACTGAATCCAGGTGACATATTTTCTCACTACTTTTAAGTTTTCAATTGTCCATAATAAAATGTAAAAAATGATGAGTGATTAAAATAAAATCATTTTAAAAACTAAAATTTTAAAGGACTATATATAAAATTCTAAATTAATATAACTTAAGGTTTGTCTTGAAAACTGGATAAAGTAACCCAGAGCAGATGCCACAATCTTTTTTTAAATTTTAATCAACCATTTAAATCTTTTTGTGTAAGGAATACAACACAGATAAAAGCATAACATTTTATTAACTTACAAGGCAGGGGAGGTCCTGGCCTAGTAGCTCAGTTGATTAGAGGGTTGTCCCAATACACTAAGGTTGTGGGTTCAATCCTCAGCCAGGGCACATGCAAGAATCAACCAATGGCCTGGCTGATGTGGCTCAGTGGTTGAGCGTCAATCCAAGAACCAGGAGGTCATGGTTCGATTCCCGGTCAGGGCACAGGCCCAGGTTGAGGGCTCTGATCACCAGTAGAAGTAGGGATGCATGCAGGAGGCAGCCGATCAATGATTCTCTCTCATCATTGTTTCTATCCTTTTTCCTTCCTCTCTGAAAGCAATAAAAATATATTTTAAACATAAATAAAATCTGCCAAGCCTGTGTGCCTCAGTGGTTGACCCATGCATCAAGAAGTTGCCAGCTTGATTCCCAGTCAGGGCACATGCCAGGGTTGTGGGCTTGATCTCCAGGATGGGCGTGCAAGAAGCAGCCAATCAATGATTCTCTCTCATCATTGATGCTTCTATCCCTCTCTCCCTTCCTTTCTCCGAAATCAATAAAAATATATTAAAAGAAACAAAACACACACAAAAAAAATTTAAAAAATTAAAAAATTTTAAAAAATAATAAAATACGCCCAGCCGATGTGGCTCAGTAGTTGAGCGTCAACCCTAGGCAAGAGGTCATGATCTGACTCCCAGTCAGGGCACATGCCCAAGTTGCGGGCTCTGCTGATCCCCAGTAGGGTGGCGTGTAGGAGACAGCCAATTGCTGTTTCTCTCTCATCGATGTTTCTATCACTCCCCTTTCCTCTCTGAAATCAATAAAAATAAATTTTTAAAAAAGCGGCCCGCCTTCTACTATGCACACACAAAAGTTTACCGCACCACGTGACAAGTTTCACATGCTCAGCAGTGAATGGTGAAAAGGGATTGCTAATGAGGAGCTGCTGAAACAAACGAACGCCTTTACCTCCTCCCTCATGGAGTACTGTTCGATGAGCTTCTTCAGCTTCTCCCCCAGCTCGATGTTCTCCCGGCGGAGCCTGGCGTTGTGGATGTCGTGCTGCTCCAGCTGGGCCTGGATCTCATTCAGAGTAATTTGGAAGTGTGCGGTTGCCTCTTTCCGTCTCTCTTCCTCCTCGCGGGCCTGCTGCACATTTTCTTCCTGATGATGGAAAATAATTTATAGACCCATGGAGAACGTGCTCACAAAGGCTGCTGCCGCGTGGGTTCATTTACTGCTGCTCTGAAGGGATGCTTCTGAATTCTAATTCCTTCATTTAGGAACTAAAGGCTATCATTTAAGAGCAAGAAGCTTTTCCTGAGTAGATGGAACAATGGGAGAGATTTTACAAACTGCCCTGCTGTAAGGAAGAAGCATGTGACCATGTGAAATTCACTATACTGCTAGATAAGCAAGGAGCCTGTCCACCCAGCCAGCTCCCTCCGTCTATGTTCCCAAGTACCCTCCTCACTGGTTCCACAAGGCAGCATCTCAAAGCAGCCTCAAGACAGATCCCTTCTTAGGACATACCTTGTACTTCCCAGGGGCAAGAGGACAAATGGAATCTGTATTTGAAAAAGCCTACTTCCGCCCTAGCCGGTTTGGCTCAGTGGATAGAGCGTTGGCCTGCAGACTGAAGGGTCCCAGGTTTGATTCCGGCCAAGGGCACATGCTCAGATTGTGGGCTTAATCCCCAATAGGAGGCCTGCAGGAAGTAGCCGATCAGTGGTTCTCTCTCATCATTGATGTTTCTATCTCTCTAGCCCTCTCCCTTCCTCTCTGAAATCAATAAAGAAATATATTTTAAAAAGCCTATTTCCAACTCTTGCTAAAATACACGTATTAAAAGGCTTTTACATGACTAAACAACAGTCCAAACAAAATATTGATTTGCTATTTGGCAGGGGGGGGGGGGGGGGGAATACCACCTATTTTAATTAACATCTAAATCCAAAGGTTCAGCCGGGACCGGTTTGGCTCAGTGGATAGAGCGTCGGCCTGCGGACTGGAAGGTCCCGGGTTCGATTCCGGTCAGGGGCATGTACCTTGGTTGTGGGCACATCCCCAGTGGGAGGTGTGCAAGAGGCAGCTGGTCGATGTTTCTCTCTCATCAACATTTCTAACTCTCTGTCCCTCTCAATTCCTTTCTGTGTAAAATCAATAAAATATATTTTTAAGTAAATAAATAAACAAATAAATAAATCCAAAGGTTCAAAAGCAAAGAAGAAAACATAGGCTCCCACATCAGGTGCAGATCCATCCTGAGCGCTCCTGTATTCTAGGCCTTGGGGGGTGCTGTGGTAGGGAAGTCTGAGGACATCCTGCTCAGTGAAAATCAAATGAAACTATGGAAGAGGAGTGCCCGCCCTGTCTTCTTCCGTCTTCCACTGTTGGTGCCAATTAATCTTCAGGTGCCTGCTCCCTCTTCCTTTATAATAAGCCAAGTGCTCTTCTAAAAGTACTCAGGAACTGGGTAGCTGGCAAGGGCAGCTTGGCAAAGTAGCTGAGTAACAGCCCTGGGGGGTGGGGGGAAGGGAGAGACCCTAAGCACGTGCTTTCCCTTCCCAGGCTCATTCTGCCTCTAGTCTGTTCCCACTTACTTCTCATCGCATGTCAGATTCTCATTCGTGGTAATAAACTACATCAGTGCTCAGCAGGAAACTGGCAACTTTGCGCTTCCTAAGCCATAGCTCGAAGCAGGAGAGCTTGCTGTAAATACCAGTCTCATCTAGAACCCCATGAGCACCTATGAGGGACCCTAAGCATCAGATCAAGCAAAATAGAAAGCAAGATGGTAGCTCTGTCTCCAAGTAGACACAAGGACTTATTTTAAACTAGAGGCCCAGTGCACAACATTTGTGCACTGGGGGCGGGGGCGGGTCCCCTCAGCCCAGTCTGCACCCTTTCCCAAACCAGTAGCCCTTGAGGGATGTCCACCTGACGGCTTAGGCCCAGTCGGACATCCTTAGCCCTGCCTTGGAGGCAGGCAGCTGCACTCACCAGCAATCAGCCTGGCTTGTGGCTAAGAGACTCTCCCACTGTGGGAGGGCACCGACCACCAGGGGGCAGCTCCTGTATTGAGGTAGTTCTGCAGTTGCCGTACCCTTTTGTTATATAGGATAGGAACATGATGATTATAAAAAAACTGAGTCAGTCCCACCTGGAAAACAGAACAAAGAACCAACTAACCTTTAGCGTCTTATTGTGACGCTGAAGTTCCCTGCAGAGAGACTCTAGTTTGCTTCTTGCCAAGATCGCCTTACTGTGCTCACTCTGCAAGTGAACTTTCTCTTTCACGATCTGGGCTTGCTTCTTCTGCAGAATCTTCATTTGCTTCTGAACATTCCTGCTCTCCTCCAGCTAAAATAATAAGCACTGCACATTTAGGAAGTACACTGAAGACCTTTGAGTTATGGATGAGAGAATTACAGTAAGAGCTATAACTTAATAACCAAATATTGTAATGGAATGTTTCATTTTCAATTAGTTCATGCCACTCTACTCTGCCAACCTTCTCTTTTCCAGTTGTGACAGGAAAGTAAGCAAACAATCTAGGGCAGGGAAAAAATCTTAACCTCTTTTTTCTTACTAAAAACAAAAATATGATGTTTGGGGAAAACTTTTCAAGAATCAGTACCAGTGGGGTTCTTAAGGAAGAGGAAGAAAATAAAGATAAAAATTATGAACAACAAATACGTAACTATCAACAAGTGAATCTAAAAACCAAGGGAATTAAAAAAATCAGATGAACAATATTAACTGTTGAATATAATATAGAATCAGAGGTATGGAAGGGGAGTGAACTGATGATTCTCGGGGAAAAGGGGAGTGGAGGGTGCGGGAAGAGACTGAACATAAACTGTGCATGTATGGATGAGGACAATGGGGGGTGGGGAAAGGGCAGAGGGTGGGTGGGAACCTGGTGGAGGGGAACAATGGAGGGGGGGGGAAAGAGGAACATTTGTAATAATATGAACAAAAAATATTTATTTAAAAAATAAAAAAATAAAAAATAAATGTTGATTATGAAAAAAAAAAGAAGAAGAAGAATCAGTACCATTGAATTTTACTTTTCTGAAAGCACACGCAGGCTACTTTAATGAAACGGCTCTCTGAATTAGAACTTAATAAGCTGTGCTCAGGCTTCTTGGTGAGTTAGGGGGGATCATTGCAATTTGCAATTTGGAGCAAACAATTCTATTTCAAGGTTAAATCAGCACTAATGGATAAGATGGCAGCCTTACCACCTTTTACTAAAGCAGATGATGCTGTCATGATTTTAGAAACAAGAGTGACATCTTGTGGCCTATCAAAACATAGCAAGCACCCTTACTGGCAATGTGCGCCTACAGCTATTAAAAAGACCTTTATGGAAATTCCTGCTGGAAAAGTAATACTTTTGTAAAGTAATCTCTCTGTGGCACAGTTCCAAGGGGCTGCAATTTCTGCAGACACCATGCGTAACTCCAGGGAGGACTGGAAGTCCCCCAGCCTTCCTAGCCTCAAGGTAACCATAATTCTTAATCTTGGGTTCACTACTTCTTTGCTCTTCTCTCTCTTTTATGTCATCTGTGTGTGGTCCTAAAAGAAATCATTTTGGTTTTAGTTGTTTTGACTTTATTGTGGCTCCTGCAACTGAGGAACAACATTTTTTATTCTCTTTCATTTAAATTAATATAAGCTTAAATAACCACATGTGACTACTGGTTGTTTTGGACAGCACAACCATAGATTATATTGCTAGGAGTCATCCAGATTATTCACATGTAGCTATAGATCAGGGAACAGCAAACTTTATCCAGAAGGTAAATATTTTAGGCTTTGCAGGTCACACGGGATATCTGTTGTGTCATCCGCTTTTTCTAAACAGCACTTTAAAAATGTACTAAAAACCATTCTCAGCTTTAGTACAAAAACAGGCCTCACCAGATTTAGCCAACAGGTTGAGTAATATTACACTTTTTAAAAAATACAAAACACACAACACATTGTATTGACCCATTCATTTATCACCGAGCATTTGGGTTGCTTCCAGGTTTTATTACTCACAATGATGTGAACATTCTGACGTGCTTCCTCATACACACATGCAACAATTTCTCTTGGGTGCAAACCTAGAAGTGGGGTTGCTAGACAGATTTCTAATGTTCTATTTCACATTACTATGCCAAACTGTTTGCCAGAGTGGCTAGCAAATTTCTTTGCCCATCAATAATTTATAGGAGATCAAGTAGATGCACATCCTCTCCAAAACTTAGTATGATCTGGTCATTGACAAAAAGTAGTATTTATGATATAGAATAACTGCTTTAACAATAGATGAAGCCCCACCGCGTGGCTCAGCAGTAGAGCGTTGATCTAGGAACCAAGAGGTCGGCAGTTCAATTCCCGGTCAGGGCATTTGCCGAGGTTGTGTATAGGAGGCAGCCAATGAATGATGTTCCTCTCTCATTGATGTTTCTCTCTCTCTAACCTTCTACTTTCCTCTTTCTCTAAAAATCAATATAAAAACTTATTGTTTTAAAAACCAACAGATGACAATACATATAAATTGTCAATGACGAGTCATGTTAAGTATTTCACTAAAGGCGCTAATTTTAACATTTATATTAGAATTCTAAAAGCCTTCCAAAATCCTTACTTCAAAGGGTTCCATGACTTTTACATGCTTTAGTTCAAAAAGAATGGCAGTATTTCCATATTGAGACTGCTTTCTTAATTTTAAAAAGAGAATTAATGCTACTTGAAATAACAAAGGCCCAGAATAAATAAGGTCAATTTCTTTGGAGGAAACTGGGAAAAAGGAATGCCTGGAACACAGTATATGTAAATACAAAATTCCCGAGATACAGTATTGTTTTATTTTTTTATTTTTTTAAATAAATCTTTATTGTTCAGATTATTACAGATGTTCCTCTCCCCCCACCCCATAGCTCCCCTCCACCACCCGATTCCCCACCCCATTCCCTAACCCTCCACTACTGTCTTCATCCATAGGTGTAAGACTTTTGTCCTACAGTATTATTACTGGAGTGTCCTACAGTATTATTTTAGTAGACTACTTCATCCAACTCACAATCTCCATCACAAAGGCTAAAACCTTTAACTCTAAATTTCCCTTGGAAAAAGTTAAATGTAGGAACGATTATATTAAATATAGAACCATATACCCCAAATGACTAAAAGCATGACACAGAAATGAAAATACTTAGACATACTCCAAACTGAGTTTTACAAAATGTATACCATATCTTAGCATACTAATGTACTATATGTATCACATTATAAAACTGTCATACAAGCAACAACAAAAAACAAATAAACCAAGAAATCAGATTCTCCTCTTCAATTTTAGAATAAAACATAATTTAACATTTAAAGCTACACCAAAACCACATTTAAAAAAACTTATCAGCCCAGCCGGCATGGCTCAGTGGTTGACCAATGAACCAGAAGGTGACGGTTCAATTCCTGGTCAGGGCATTTGCTGGGGTTACAGGCTAGATCCCACTGTGGAGCGTGCAGGAGGCAAGCTGATCAATGATTCTCTCTCATCATTGATGTTTCTATCTCTATCTCCCTCTCCCTTCCTCTCTGAAATCAGTAAAAATATATTTTTTAAAAACTTATCAACACATATCCATTTTGCTATATTTTATATGGCCCTCAACCCTTTCATTTAATACTCACAAGATCAGCATATTTCTTACAGAGAGCTGCCAGCTTCTCTTCTGGAGTTGAAAGGGTGTTTAGGGCTTGCATCAATAATAAAACTTCTTTACCTGATGATTAACAAGATAAGAAATAAGTCCTGGAAGAAGAATGAGATCTAATCTAACCTGCAAATTCTACACAGTACTTCCTATGTTCTGACACCCAGAATAAAATAATTTATGCCTATAACTAGAAATAAGAGATTTACCAACCAAATTAAGAAAGCTATTTTAAATTCGAGATTGACAGGCATTTCTTCCACTCCCCTACCCCTAATTTCTTCACTCTTTAACACAGCTATTTGTAAGAACTCTTGCTGAAGGTTTAAGAATTCCCCTGCTTACCCACTGATGTCCAACTTAAGACAAAGAGCAAGTTACAAAGGGCAGAATATTTTTAAAACTTTCTCCTTACCAAATACAAATATAGAAGCAAGTTCAAAGGGAATTTCAGTTGGAACTCTCTGCCTAAGGTACACATTTGTGACACATCTTTTCCTATGCACAATTTAAATAATTTCTGAATGATTTAGGAAGCATATTTTGTGGGTTAACCAAGTTCAACGTAGATAAAAAGATGTCAAGATAGCTTTTCCCTTGGGAAAAAGAGCTCCATACTATTTAAAGACTTTGGCAGGGTGAAGCAGGTGGCTTAGATACAAGGGGACAAGTGGAATTAACAAATAAGTGATAATGTTTTGTTTTGTTTTAAATATATTTTTTATTGATTTCAGAGAGATAGAAACATCAATGATGAGAGCATCACTGATCAGCTGCCTCTTGCACGCCCCATACTGGGGATCAAGCCCACAATCCAGGCATGTGCCCTGACCAGGAATTGAACGCTGACCTCCTGGTTCATAGATAGATGCTCAACTACTGAGCCATGCCAGCTGGGCCATTCCTTTTTATTGCTGAATAATATTTCATTGTATGAGCTGATGGGTAACAAGTGTTTCTTTTGGGCTATTATGAATAATCACATGGTAATGTTAGGTGTAACTTTCAAGACTACATCTGCTGTTACACATGTAATTGGGGCTGCTGACTTTTTGAAGAAATCTGTATTGTTTGCAAAGAATAAAAATTATTTTTTATTATATTTCTATAAATTTTTAAGGTTTCCAATTTACCAGAAAATGGATTTAATAAAGATAATTCTAATTTAGCATATAGAAAACCACTCAAATTAAACACTGTTAATTTTAGGTATAATAAGTTTAAAAAACTTGGGGCAACCCGTAAGGCTAAAATAAAAGGGGATTTCAAATATCATAACAAGATTCAATGTATCACATCTTAGTCCTAAATCTCAAACAGAGCAGGAGAAAGAAAACATACTCTTGCTGAAACCGGTTTGGCTCAGTGGATAGAGCGTCGGCCTGCGGACTGAAAGGTCCCAGGTTTGATTCCGGTCAAGAGCATGTACCTTGGTTGCGGGCACATCCCCAGAAGGGGGTGTGCAAGAGGCAGCTGATCGATGATTCTCTCTCATCGATGTTTCTAACTCTATCCCTCTCTCTTCCTCTCTGTGGAAAATCAATAAAATATATTAAAAAAAAAAAAAAGAAAGAAAACATACTCTTGAAAGCCAGTCTTAACCCACTTTCAGAACTGCAGATAACATTATGTCATCTCTAAATTGTTGTGACTAGTTTTTAAATAAAGTGATCAAATAAAGATATAGTTTTCAAGGTGAATTTTGGTCAGACCACATTAAAGACACAAACAAGGCAAGTCGAATATGAATTCCTTCAAGTTGGCCCCAAATTTTTTCACAAAAGCCAATTATTGATTATTTAGAGAGAATTCCCCACTCTGCTATCTTTGCCTCCTGAACAGAACTGCAGCAGACGGGCAGACGGACCACACTGAAGACAACAGACGCTAAACAGCCACCTCAATACTGGCCACTACCGGCCATGTTCATAATCACCTGTGTAGCAGGAAATGTAAAATAAACGAGCTGCGTGTGACAACATCCAACCACTAAGCAGAGATTATTACCTAGGGTTTTTTCTTTGTTCCTGTTGCAATCTGAATCTTGCTGACCATCGGGGGGATCTGTTCTAGCTTCCTGCCCAGGAATTTCCTCTCTTGGCTCCTGTGTGCAGTAGGCCGGGTTCACCAAACTCCTGTGTTTTGTTATGAAGCCTTCAGCCTCTTCCAGTGAGTGCTTGTTACTTGTTCCACCACAATGTGAGTCTTGATGTTGAAGAATATCGTTTGATTGAGAAGTACGCAACACATCCGCTTTCACCCCTAACCCGCACATTCCAGCTTCTTCCATTGCACCAATCACAAACTAGAGAGAAGGGAGGAAAAAAGATGAAAAGGGGGTTAAATCAAATGTAGCCAATGTTTACTACCAATAGCACACCATAGTCGACAGCTTTTTTTCTTTCTTAGTGGCTTGTAAAACTGATGTAAATATCGTAGGTAGTTTGTAAGTTTCACTGAGAGGTGACCTAACTGTAAAGTGTAAGGAAATAAAGTTAAAACAAATCACACACCTAAGAGGTACCAAAGAAAGCAAGACATGCCATTTAGTTGTAAGCCTAAACTTATTTTCCTATAAAGCCTCCACTACTTAATTAGCACCTTAACAAATGTGAAATTATACCAAGTTAATGAACACAAGTTATTTTGGTCTTGATGGTAGATTTTTGGTGGGGATCACTTTGTTCTGCAGTGTACACAGATGACAAATTTCAATGTTGCACACCTGAAACTTACGTTATGTTCCAATTTCACCTCAAAAAAATTATTCTGGTCTTATCCTTAAGGAAACGGTACATAAGAGATGGCTCACGAGGTGTCCCATGCTCCTCCAGTCCCCTGCGGAGCTGGCACTGCCTGACCAGTGCTCAGCTAAACACTACGTCTCCCAGCCCCTGACGTCTGGGTGGGACTCCCATGTGAAGTTCCCACCAATGGAATGCAAGCCCAAGTGATGACTGTGCCTCTGTGACAATATTCTTATTCTTAGAAGCACATGTTCTTTCTCCATTACCTCTTCCCCATTGCGCCTGGATGCAGAGTCACCACGATCCTATGAGATGGCAGAGCCACAGGAGGAAACCAGCCCAGGCCCCTGAATCCCATGTACATATAAGGAAAGTCAGCCTTCTTACAAAGAACACCCACACCACGGTTATTAAAGCACAGTTTGCATGGATGAAGCTTGAAATAATTACACTGTGTAAAAGCCAGACAAAAAAAACACGAATTATCCACACCAAAAGCACTATTACAGGAGCAAGAAAATAAAGTTCTCCCAGGTTAAACCACAAAATTTTGAGTAGAATGTTTTAAGCAGGTATGCCTACCCCAATATAGATGGCAGGCAATGGAGAGATGGCTTTATTCTAGTATTTTATCCTCAAATCAGTAATTTTACCATTTATTCATGGGTTTCCCATTAACATTGCTTGTTCATATGATGTGGCACAAACTTAAATTCTGTACAATTTCCTCTCTGTGTGAAAGAGAGCTTTTTTGTTTTTTAAAATAATACAATCAGGGGATGTCTAATATCTTTCTTTTACCACAAATGAACAAAATACTTTCCAAAGTTACTAGAACAGATTATGTCAAGTTATAATAATACCCAACTAGAGAACTAAAAATAATTTAAAGTATCAAAGCAGGGAATAAAGAGCTTAAAGGAACTAAATCCTTATCCTTTACTAGAGTCGGGGGGCTGGGACCCGAGCCTGACCCACAAAGCACCAACCTCGGGTCGTGTCCCCTGGGGTGGGGGCAGGCGGTCCTGTATGTTGAGTCTCAGCTCTAGCCTGCCCCCAGCCTCCTCCCACCCATTTGTGAACACAGGTCCTCCTGAGCTGTCATGACGCTGGCTAATTAGCATATTCCCTGTTCATAAAGAGAGAAAATAGACTAACTAGAGGCCTGGGGCATGACATTGGTGCACGGGGGGGTCCCCTCAGGCCAGCCTGCACCCTCTCCAACCTGGGATTCTTCGGGGATGTCCAACTGCCTCTTTAGGCTTGATCCCTGCAGGCCTAAACCAGCAGTCGGACATCCCTCTCACAATCCAGGTCTGCTGGCTCTCAACCGCTCGCCTGCCTCTGCCTGATCGCCCCCTAACCACTCCCCTGCCAGCCTGTTTGACCCTAAATGCCCTCCCCTGCAGGCCTCGTCGCCCCCAACTGCCCTCTCCTGATGGCCTGATCACCCACAACTGCCCTCCCCTGCAGCCATCTTTGACCACATGGGTACGGCAATTTTGTGCAAGGGCATGAGGGTCAATTACCTCTTTATTATATAGGACTAGTGACCTGGTGCACAGACTCATGCACATTGAAAGAAAATTAATTAGAAAGTGGCTGATGGGGCAGGACTGGGTGAATTGGGCCAGACACACCCTGGAGCCAACCTCCCATGGTCCCTCCCTGACCGACCACACCTGGGGTGGCACCGTGGCTCAAAGGGTATCTGCAGAATAAGCAGGGTCCCTCCGGTAAATGGGGTGCCTCAGCCTGGCCTATGGGGATCCGGCTAAAACTGGCACTCCAACATCCCCTGAGGGGTCCCGCAGTGCCAGAGGGCACTCTGCAAAGTTACTGTCCTACAGGGTGTGGAATGCCAGATTCGGGACCGACAATGCCCCAGCACCAACATAACCCACCGCCAAAGGTGGAATTGCACAGCCCATGAGGAATCAGGCTCCCTCCTCTCTGGTTTCAGAGTGCGTCACCCAAGAACCACCACTACCAAGTCATTGCATCTCAGCAGCTCCCGCATCGAGTGTCTGCCCCCTGGTGGTCAGTGCATGTCACAGCGACCAGTCAGATGGCCAAACACTTAGCATATTACCCTTATATATATACAGATGTTGCCAAATCAAATACTGTGCTTTTGAAAGAACAAGTTGGTACAGCTACTTTGAAAAATTCTTTAGCAATATGGATAACTGCCAACATAGTTAAATCTAGTCCTAGGATTTTACCCAAGTGAGTATATATGTGCAGCCAAAGGCCAAGAAATGTCTAGAGCAACACTATTTGAAATTACCCCAACATGAAATCAATTCAAATTTCTACCAACCAAAGAATGGATCATTCTAACATGTTCAGACCATCCAGCAATAACAATGAACTACTATAAGATACAGGAACACAGATTAGTCTCAAAGACAGACTGTTGCAAGGAAGGTGTCACAAGAATATATACTCTAGGGGGGGAAAAAAGAAAAAAGAAAAAGAATATATACTCTAGGACAGCAGTTGCCAACCTTTCGGACCTCATGAACCACCTGCTGGCAACTGCTGCTCTAGGAAACCATTTAATAAAGTTCAAAAACTGGCCAAGCTAATCGATAGTGCTGGAAATCAGGAAAGATTACTGTTGAGGGCAGGGCCTTCTGCAGGGCTTGGTAATATTCTGTCTTGATCTAAATGGGGCAACATGGGTGCTCACTTTGTGAAAATCCATTGCCTTAGCAGTTGTGCTTTGTATACTTTTCTGAATGTATGTGTTAGTTCAATAAGGTTTATTTTAAAATTTGTGATTTATATACTAGTATTATTCAAAATTGATGAAGAACCAAAACAGAAATATTTTCCTCTAGGAAGAGAGATGAAAGGTGTGTTGCTTTTCATGATTCTTTAAAAATGCTATACATGTAATATGTTCATTTTTAAATATATATATTTTATTGAGTTTTTACAGAGAGGAAGAGAGAGGGATAGAGAGTTAAAAACATCGATCAGCTGCCTCTTGCACACCCCCCACTGGGGATGTGCCCGCAACCAAGGTTTATTTAAAAATTAATGATGCAAGTTTTAAGAAATGTCCTTTGTTAAATTTCATTACTGCAGAAACTTCTTAAAACCATTAATATGCCCCAATAGCCAAAACCGGTTTGGCTCAGTTGATAGAGCGTCAGCCTGTGGACTGAAAGGTCCTGGGTTCGATTCTGGTCAAGGGCATGTACCTTGGTTGTGGGTACATCCCAAGTAGGGGGTGTGCAAGAGGCAGTTGATGGATGTTACTCTCTCATCGATGCTTCTAACTCTCTATCCCTCTCTCTTCTTATCTGTAAAAAATCAATAAAAGTATATTAAAAAAAATATGCCCCAATAACATACTTCAGAAGTAGTACTCTCAAACCAAATGCTAAGTGATCATTTTAACACTACATTATACATTTAACTACTAGTTCTTACCTCTACTTTATATGAGATAATAAACTGTCATATACTAGCTGGGCACGTAATATTAACACAGACCCTTTACACAAAATACAGAGGGTGAAAAAAATGAAAACTATTAATATCATCTTCCTCAATTTAAAAAAAATAATTTTCAAACCTATTCCTTGAAAACAATTAATATTAAGAATAGGGCTACAAAACAACAATGTTGGCTTTAAATATTGATGAAAGTCTATTCAAAGATAATTAAAATGAAGATTCTTTTAACTCTAACACTCTTTCTCAGAAGCATAATCATAATAAACCCAACATAATACCAGAAACCATGGTGTAAAGCCATTTCCAAATATAATGAGAAAGCAATGTGGAAAATGAGGAGCATAAACAATTTCCACCAAGGGAAACCCGAGGCCCATCCTAAGATCAATTTTAATAAGAAAACTACCTGAGGAATGAAACTTGTTAAATTTATAGTTTTTGTTTTATTGATTTGAGAGAGGAAGGAAGCAGGAGAGACAGAATTCTCTCAACATCAATGATGAAAAAGACTCACTGATCGGCTGCCTCTTGCACACCCCCTTCTGGGGATCGAGCCCACAACCCAAGCATGTGCCCTTGTCTGGAATCGAAGCTGGGGCCCCTCAGTCCACAGGCCAAACCAGCTAGGGCAATTTGTAGTTTTTCAGTTCTCTTAATGATTTTTCATAACACTTTTACTGAGATATAATTGTACACCCTATTGAAAGTGAACAATTTACTGGCTTTTAGTGTTGAGAGCTGTGAACCATCACCACAATCGATTTTAAATCACCTTTGTCACCAGAAAAAGAAACTCAGTACTTCTGCTATAAAACCCTTATCCTGCCCTAGTGGGTTTTGCTCAGTGGCTAGAGCATCAGTCCATGGACTAGAGGGTCTCAGGTTCAATTCCAGTCAAAGGCATGTACCTTGGTTGTAGGCATGGTCCCCAGTAGGGGGCATGGAGGAGGCAATGATCGGTGTTTCTCTCTCATCAATGTTTCTAACTCTCTATCTCTCTCCCTTCCTCTCTGTAAAAAAATCAATAAAAATGTATTTTTTTAAAAAAGAAATATATTAATGTAGAGGAACTGGGTGAGTGGAGCCA